AGGAATCAAATCGGATTTAATATGACGTATATAGGTATGCACACGTACATATATATATATATATATATACACACTTTATCTTATTTGATAGTAAACATCTTAATTTGCACGACATTTGCGGTTTTGTTTTATCAGTTTACTGTTAAGTTTCTTCCGTTCGGTCTAGCTAGATAAGAGCATTAATGTAATGGCATATTATATATGCGTGTCCTTGAACAATTGCAAAAGTACATCCGGTTTCTCTAACTATTTTCCAAACTGTTCGATGTTAACTTTTTTATTTGGTAAAGTAAAATGTCGTCAAGTTATTTCATAAAATAAGTCTACCTGACTTTCGCAGGTCATCCATCAAAAGCTTCCATCCATCCATCCATCCATCCATCCATCCATCCATCCATCCATCCATCCATTCATTCATTCGTTCTTTCATTTTCGTTTTCTTCTCACCAATACTAAGCTATTATAGGCGAGTATAACGGCAAATGTTTGTATTCTCATCATCCGTTAAAAAAATCACGTTTGATCATTATTAGTCAAGGTAGTTATTAGACGCGTAATTACGAATTTCCCGGTGCACGATTTAAATTTAAATTTCTACGAGACGTTTCAAGCAGTCCTCATTTCCTTACAAGAGTTGAATTGGCAGCGAGCCCGTGTTGTTGGAACGATCGTGAGGCTTTTTTCGGGATTAATGACTTTTCTCGGACAATTACCATCGAGATTGCATCGCCGTGTCTACTCTTTTTTTTTTAGCAACCTTCGGAGTCATCTTATCTTTTTCTCCGTTGGCTCACGTACATTTCCACCAAGACAATCGCGAGACAATAGGATTGCTGGCATATAACGACGAGGTAAACCCACTTTTGAGATAAATAATTACGTAATGGCGAAGAAGCATTGTCTCTAAGATCGATCCAATGTTCGAACATAGCGCTATAAGAAAGATAGGAGTAGCCTTTAATCGGTCAATTATTTAAGATAAACTCGCCTTAATTTGATACTTGTCTGTGCGTTATTTTTTCTTTTCTTTTTTCTTTTTCTTTCTTTTTTTTTCTTTTTTTTTTTTTTTTTTTTTTTTATTCAACATGCTTAAACGTTAATTATCCTCGTTATTTTTGGATATAAAAGGAGATCGCATATTTATTTGAACGGAACTTGATCACATAGATATTTTTTCCAAACTAAAAGTATAATGTCGAGTTGAAAATCGACGTATGAAAGAATTCCCATTGAATTTTGAATTCCTATAAGAGATAAGCGAATGAAGAAGAGGAGGGGGGGGGGAAAGGAGCAGTGGAGGAGTAAAAGGAGTAAAAGGAAGAAGAAAGAGGATTGGTAAGTTGCGAAGGGTAAAAGGGGAAAAAGAGACGGTTGAGAATCCACTCGACTTGGATTAAAAACGGTAAATACGTAGAAGTTGACACACGAAAGCGGAGCTTTTCCAGTGAGTATTCGGATCTCCGCGGCAGATTCGTGGACAAGGAAGGGACTATGTAAAGGTGACGAGGGGGAAAAAGAAAGATAGAGTAATAGATAGATAGGTAGATAGAAAGAGATAGAAGTTCGTAAAGGTAGACACCCAGTAGAAAGGAAAGGCAGAAAGTGTGGTTACGAATTCACAATGGCATTGTTCGGAATCCTCTTCCTCCTCTTTCATCGCTTTATCCTTTCTCCTTCTCACCATATATATTCCTTTCTCTCTTTCTCTACTTTCCACTTCCCCTCCCCGCCCTTATTCCCTTCTTTCTCTTACCTCTCTTCTTTCTCCATCCACTTTACGCAAACCCTTTTCCTCCTTCTACTGCGTCGTTCCGCCATTAATGGTTTCCGTTTCCGCTGTCTCAATCTCACATTCGAAGATCCAAGCTCTAACCACCTCAACCCTTTTTCCTCTCCTTTACACACCTTCCTATTTTCTTTCTCAATGATTCACTACCCTATCGAAAATAACTTTTCCGCCATTCGATGGACCTTCGTTACTTACTCATCCCTATCGAAGGATTTTTAGATATGAAAAATTTTTCTTTCTATCTTTCTATTATATATATATATATATATATATATATATATATATATATATATTGAATATTTTATAACAATTATTTTCCAGCAGTAGGTAAATTAATTTAAATGGATTTTTCTTAGTTCTTTTTTTTTTTCTTTCGTTGATACAATTGCTAAAGTGTGAAATAACAAAATGGAAAAATGATCTTGTGGATTCGTACGATTGGATAGATAGATAAATAGATAGAAAGAGAGTGAGTGAGTGAAAGAGAAAGAGGGGAGAGAGAGAGAGAGAGACTAGGTTTAATTGTACATTCGAAATAAAATACCATCTCTCACACAGACTGATCGAAATTGCCGAGGAGGATATAAATACCGAAGTTCCTATCTCTGGATAGAATCGAACGATGATTCGGTGGCGACGGTGTGCCGATCGATTTAACCGAATGACCAATTTAGTACTGCGATCGAATAAATTCTTCGTTAAACGAGCGTACCAAATGTCTCTCGGCGATCCGAATCGCTTAATCTTTGTTTCTATCGACGTAACGACGCTTGTTCCTCCCTCCTCCTTTCTATTTCTCTCTCTCTCTCTCTCTCTCTCTCTCTCTCTCTCTCTATCTCTCATTCTGTCTTTCCGAAAATCTTATGATTTTTTATGTCTTTATCAAATAGATAAGGACATGTGGTTAAGTATGAATATTTTACGAAAATAAAATGGAACAAAGAGAAATAAAAGATTGAAAGGAATATTGCTTTAAAAGTACGCGCCCTTTTAAATAACCGTATTGCGTGTCGGTTACGTTCTAATTAACGGAGGCGGTTCAATGAAGAGAGGAGGAGCACGTAGAATGTATCCGACTTAATTAAAAACGAAACGGACCGTGGAAGAATTTCGAGTCCACGAAATTAAAAGTACATGTACTTGTATTAAACGGAAATCGATGATATTATCGTAACCCATTGATCCGAGAAATGTATTTTAATTGAGACAAAAGATGAACGAGTAGTATTTTTAAAGATATACGAAAATGGACTACATATATATTGCTTTGAATGGCTTTCGTTCTTTTTTTTTTTTTTTTTTTTTTTCTTATGTGTGTGTGTGTGTGTGTTTTTCTTTCCTTTTCTTTTTTGTAAATAATTTTCAACGTTTGCTATTTCGTTTGCTGAAATTGAGATGGTTTAATTCGAATGGGTACGGTGGAGGTTTGAATGGAAGATTCCGATAGTTGCGTTGTCCGTTTGAGTTTATTTTTTCGATAGATTCATTTTCATGATAAACTGATCTCTTGAATTTCGACATCGATGTTCACGTGGAAATTGGAAGTTCGTTCCTTTTTGTTTTCACTTCTGTGGACTTTTTATTTCTTTCCAGTCGATATGTGCCGTCAGAAAAATGTTGTCGATTGATTCAACATTAAATATGAAAGAAAACGATGGAGTGATCGATAAAGATACCTAAATGGAAAAAACTTTGTATTATGTATGTATGTATGTGCATATATATATATATATATATATATATATATATATATATATATATACACTCAGGTTTATGACTGGAACACATAATTGAGTTTCTTGGATTAAACTCTTCACGTATTACAATTAAAATGCATAAGCTTTACTTCTACGTTTTTACAGTTTAAATATGATTTTTTCACTTAAGATTATTTGTGGATCAAAAAAATGATATTCTCAAAATTTTATATTTTATGAGCTATCATATATATATATATATATATATATATATATATATATATATATATATAAACTCTTTTTGAAACGATATAACTTTCTACATTTTTATATTTTATTCGATCCAATAGATATTTGAGTTTAAAAGGGACATTCTATATATTTTATCGCGATACACGATACACAGTTATCTTATTTTCACTGCACTTTGTGATATTATTTTACTATAAGATTGCAGAAGTCGAGAAATATCGGCGTTGCTCGTTTAAGAAAGAGATAGAAATAACGAAATACGAGCTCAACTGAATATCCAAACAATTTTGTAATTCTTTTGGTCTCTTAATGCTTCTTCCTGTCTCTCTCTCTCTCTCTCTCCTCTCTCTCTCTCTCTCTCCTCTCTCTCTCTCTCCTCTCTCTCTCTCTCTCCTCTCTCTCTCTCTCCTCTCTCTCTCTCTCTCTCTCTCTCTCTCTCTTCCTTTTTTATCCTTATCATGTCCCATCTATGTTCGAAACGATAGGTAAATATTTAACGATATCACAGAATATAAGAGCATCTGGAATTTCCTCTTCTTGCGCATAGTAATGATATCACGAAGAAAATACATTTTTCATATTCGTCCATGAGCTGTTCCATTTGCATAATCGTCGTATAAGTAATATAATGCGCGTCAAATCTCCGTTACTGAAAAGTATCTGAACCCTAAACAGATTCTTGCAAATTGCTGACATGACAATGCGACTTTTTCTTCTCGTAAATATCGCTACTTCGCTAAATTATATATAGATATAAATATATATACATATATATATTTTTTTTTCAATATTTTCATGTTATGAAAGTTTCGCTTCATTTAATATTACGAAATTATCTTGGTAATAAATATTTTTTTTTTATTAGATTTCTTTATTATTTTTCTGTATTAAATCAAGAAATGCACGAGTTTTGTTTCGATAAAACTCTCAACGGATAGAAATACGTGAGTGCTGAAACGAATGAGCTATTTAAAGACCTAACGGTGTCGTCTATACGTTTGCCGTTTATTCTCACGGATTCTAAGGTGAACTTGATCTTTTTCCAAGTTTACGTTACCTCGCAAACGTGTCGAGTCTATGTATCAAAAGGAAGTAGAAAATGTTTATCTCGGTAGATCGGTTATTTAGATAAATAATCTTGATATAGGTTAAAGAGTTATGAAAAATAAGTAAACAATCGTTACTTTATGACTCTTACATTGATACGTTATTTTCTTTAAAATGTAAAATTTGATGTAATTAAATTTTACCTTTGTTTACAGTTTTGGAAAAACGGATTTGGCTTTGCGACGATAGTATCCATTTTATTAAACAAAGATGACACGAGGTACATAAGTGCACTGGATAAAATGAACAAACGATAATACAGGTTAGATATCTATATTATTATATTAAATATTGCATATTATTATATTAGAAATGCAATATAGTATCGATGCGATGAAAAATAATTGATCAGATTTATTCAATAAGTATTTATCTATTATGAATTCATACGTAATCTTGTAAGATTTTGTAAGATAGATAAGAGTTCATATTTTTCTCCAGAAATATTAGATAGAAAAACGATAATCAAGAAAATCGAATAAATAGCTATCGATTCACATATCGTTTGCTTGTCGTAAAACGTTAAAGTTATTTTTACGTCAGTACTAAGGACGTCATAAAAATTGATTAGACATACTTGAAATAAATTTATTTATTTATTTATTTATTTATTTATTTATTAGTACATTTAAGTGATCGTATTAATAACAATCGATGTATTTAATTTTGAAGCGCAATCAATAAAAGGGATATTAAAATCGATCGATTATAGAATTTTTATTGATATTTTTCACTGGCCATCAAAAGATTCTCTCGGTATCGAATACTCGTATGAAATTCAAAGAACTAGCGAAAAATAAGATTTTACGGTTTAGCACGCTCGAATGGATTCACGTTTACTTCATATTTTTACGACAGTGCCCACATTCGCACAGTAGATGCTGCGAATGACAGAAGAGGAATGCGCGTTTATTGCTTCGATGCATTCGACGAGTCCTTCGAAGATTCTACGTCTATTTAAAAAATGGAGCTCCTTCCATCCGACGTTGTTTTTCCAACAGACGTTTGTGCCTTCTTCTACGATTTTTTTTTCCTCTTTTTCTTTCTTCTTTTTTCTCTTCGTTTTTTCTTCCCTCTTATTTATCTCTTTCTCTCTCTTTTTATCTTTTCCTTCTTTCTCTTACTTTTCTGCCCATTTACTCTTTTTCTTCGAGTACATAGCTGCAATTTATGGACTGTTCGCGAGAAACGGTAGAAGATGGGTGGTGGGAGGAGAAGGAAGAAGAGGAGGAGAAAGAGGAGGAGGAGGAGAAGGAGGAGGTGAAAGAGGTGGAAGAGGATGAGAGAGAGATGGTGGTGATGGTGGAGGAAAGAGGTTGAGTAGATAGAGAGGGACGAAAAGAAGAGAGGGTATCCTGACCGATAAATCGCTGCTCGTAAAGTGTCCCACCCCATAGCTCAACCCTTTTGGTGAAGGAGGAAAAGCAAGAGGAAAAGAAGGAGGACGGTTGGATAGGTGGTACTACATTTTATAGGAGAATTTTTGTTGAGAAGGACCGCCTGCCGTCGATGGTCGCAAAGACGAAGGACGACGAGTGTGTGAGAGAAGAGTTTGCTGGGAGTAAGAGGAAGGGTCAGGTTGAAGCGGGGCGAGGGGTAGAGAGGATGGCAGAGAGAATCTGCGGAGAATGGCTTGGACGTATGACGTTGACGCGCGACGAGGAAAAAAAAAAGAGAAAGAACGAGAGATTTTTCCATTCCGGAGGAATCCTCTTCGAGAGCCATAAAGATTCTTATTTCTATTTCTTTTTTTTTTCTCTTTATATATATATTTTTTTATATTTTTCTTATTTTCTCTATTCTTCTCTTTTTTTTTTTTTTTTTTTTTTTATTATTACTCGAGTTCGTTTATATTCGTGAAAGGACATGTAGAAAGAAAAAAGGAAAAAAGATAAATAAAGTTTGAGCATTGAACACGAGAAAGAGAGAGAGAAAGGGAGAGAGAGAGAGAGAGAGAGAGAGAGAGAGAGAGAGAGAGAAAGAAAGAAAGAGAAAGAGAAAGAAAGAGAAAAATAGAGAAAGAGAAAGAGAGAGATATTTATAAGCGAATGTATTCTTCATTAATCTGTGTTCCGACGAGAAATTGATTAGTTTGTTTTTTTTCTTCTATGTCGTAAGATGCAGATAAATGCGCAAGTAAGTACATAAGATGCACTGACATCCAAGGTGATCGGGAAATGCGAGAGGCTCGTCCTTTCACACAACATAAAGAAGCGGAAAGGTTACGATTGACTCAGTCATAGATATTTTAAGAATGATCATTATAAAGGATATAAAAATAATTTATTTATTTATTTATTTTCTTCGTTTTCTTATTAATTACATAACTATGATAATCGTTGATTATTATATACCGATAAGATTGTTATCATCGATCGGTATATATATATATATATATATATATATATATACATATATATATCATGCGCGATTAAACGGATTTCAAATGGATGTATTTTTTTCTTTTCCTCTTTTCTTTTTTCTTCTTTTTTTTTTTTTTTTTTTTGAACGATCGATATTATTCCGACATGGCGCATCGTAATCGTAAAGAAAATTATATTTTAATAATAGATTTCCTCCTTGAGGAAAATCGTCTATAATATTTTCTATTATCGATTCCCAATTTCGTGTCGGTTCTTTTCACGACTGTGGTCTCGAAGCTCTTTCGCAATGTGCAGTTGTTCAGTGAAGGACCGAAATACCGAAGAAAGAGAGAAGGCAAAAAAACAAAAAAACAAAAAAAAGAAAAAATAAAAAATGAAAAACAAAAATAAAAGTAAAAATGAAAAAAGAAAGAAGAAAGAAAATGAAAAAAAGAAAAAAAAAAAGAAGAAAAAGAAAAGTAAAGAACATAGGCAGGCTTACGGTCACGCTATCGAACGGATGCAGAACCGGTTTCTTCTCGGAAGAAACGATTAATAAAACTTAGGAACTTCGTAGCAGTGCAACCGTACTCCTTTGCGATTTGTGCTTATCGAAGGAAAAGAAGGAGAGAGAGAGAGAGGTGAACGATTTATTGACCGGCCTAATCCACGATCGAAGTTAAGCCGTACTGTAGTAGTTAAGAATATCGGAGAAGAAATAGAAAGAGATAGATAGATAGATAAAGGGAAAGAGAGAGGGAGAGAGAGAGAGAGAGAGAGAGAGAGAGAGAGAAATAAGCAGGGAAATTTGCAAGTGGTGAAAAAGAAGGAAAAGTTTAACGATGCTAGGTTCGTGCCAACGTAAATCCGAGTTTACAAGGGAGAGACCTATACGCCTCTTCAGTTTTCGCGTATCGAAGCTGCACTCCTGTTTTTTCACGAAAATCCGCGAGCATATTCCGCTTCCATTGTACTACAATGCTACCACGTTTTCGGTCATGTACTTTTTTTCCTTGTTTTCTCTCTCTCTCTCTCTCTCTCTCGCTCTTTCTTTCTTTCTCTTTCTCGCTTTCTCTAACTCTCACGAATACATCGATTTTAGAGAACTGAAATGAACGGTGCTGCATGGTCTCGAAAAGGTCTCTTGTTCGACGAAAAGCTTTGACCGCTTTTTTCTTCTTTTTTTTTTTTTTTTTTTTCTTTCTTATCACTCTCGCACAAGCTTTCATTCGATAAGGTGTTCTTGCGTGCGAGAATATTCGTGGCGGTTTCGTTACTTCCGTACGTCTTCTATGCACGAGTGCGATATAATATGTAAGAGAAAGTAGAGTATTTATGGATATGTATATTTAATCGAATCAACATTTTTTCCTTTTATCGAAATAAAAAAAGGAGGAAAGCATGTAATGTAACTTGTATTCAAATCACCTTTGCGTTAATTATCTACTTTATTTTTGTCGTGATTTTTTTTCTGCAAAATATATATCAATATATATATATATATATATTTTTTCTGTTTTTTTTTTAGCACGATGAATTTTCGACAACAACGATAGAAGATTTGACAAACGATATTATATTTCTAAATTTATCAGAGACGTGTTCACGTTTCACATCGAAATTTAAATATTGTTTCAATCTGTATCCATTCTATTTATAGTTAAACATCAATGTGATGTACTATTTGATCGAATCGAAAGATTTTCCTTTCTCTCTTGCTTTTTTTTTGTTTTTCGTTTTTTTCTTTTTTTTTTTTTTTTACATTTTTCTTTCTTCATTTCTTTTTTTATTTTTTCTACGAATCAAAGTACATGTACCGAAGTACCGTATTCATTCGACATATAAACATTCAAAATTGGGAAGCATGCAACTCCTTTCGTACTGGTCGACTGATCGCTTTCTTTTCTTTCCTTCGTTGAGCTTCGATTTCCCATTGGGACGTGGCTTTAAATTTGACAAAGCTTCTGATATGCCACTGACTCCCCATACTACCTCTATTGGAAACGATCCGCTCCAATGGCGCGTTCGCTTGGCTCAACTCTCGCGATACGCGCGAGGACTATCGATCGATAGTTTGCTTGCTTGCTTGCCTGCCTGCCTGCCTGCTTTTTCGCTAGTTCGCTGCTAGCTCGCTAGCTAACTCGCCAACTCGCTTCGGGAATTGTTCGGAGAAGCTTGACGTGTCGTAAATTCCTTTCTCCGCTTTGTCGGTTTATCGTATCGATTTTTATCGTTCACTTTGTCCATCGTTCGGTGGAATCATCCGATTCTTGATTGGACTTCGATTAAGAAGATTGTCTTCTATGAAACTTCAAACAAATCGATAAGATACCGATTACTTTAAATAGAAATGATCATAAACTCTTTTCTCATATATAAATATATATATATATATATATATATATATATATATATATATATTATTTTTTCATCCCCTAAAGAAACAAGTTCTCTTTCTTTTCTCTTTCTCTCTCTCTTTGATACTTTTGTTTGATCTCTCGAAAAAATATTCTCGAGGAATAAGTAATTACTCGAGTAATTACTCTTCGTCATCCATTATTTTAAGAGAGAGGGAGAGAAAGAGAGAGAGAGAGTGAGAGTGAGAGAGAGAGAGAGAGAGAGAGAGATAGAAAGAAAAAGAAGAAAAATTGTTTCCTCGTAGACAAAGATCGATTCTGCACTCTTTTTACGGTAATCGCAAAGAGCTCGATCTTTTATTTGACGCTGTCTGACGGAAGGTATTCGAAGCAATTTACGAGGCGCACGTGCCGATTACGGCCGAATCTTCGTGTCCTCCAGCTGATATATGCCGCAATAAAGGGTCAAAGAGGAGGAACCGATGGAGATAGACCTGTACGGGGAAATGAAACTCGCTGGGGTAGGATATAAAAAAAAAAAA